TTCTAATTGAGTCTACCGATGGTCATATATAGAATGATTTTAATCCTGAGTTCTTAACAAACTCCTATTTATGGATTTATGTCTTTTGATTTACTCGGTACGGATTCCGAGACCCTGAATCCTATTCCTTGTATTTTGGAGACATAATGAAATAGGTAGCTGGGAATGTTATTATACGAGATGGAATCCATTCCTTCTTGAGAAAGAACTAGATAAATAATTCTCTTGATTGTTGATTCGGTACTTGGATTAGTAAGAGCGCTCTGGTTCATGAATGTGTTTTATGAATCACTATCCATTAGAGAATCAATGGTACTCAAGGATGAAGATATAATTAGAGAGGTTAACGGATTCTACCTGACTCTAATTATGAATTATTTATGGAGGATTGATCTATATGCAATGACTATATCAAATGGACACTTCACAGTTTAGAAGTAATTAATGTCTATAATTTTGAGAGTGCAATTCCAAGTTTATAGTGGAGTAACTATTGGAATTAATAGAATTAATTAATTAATTAAAGTGTTTAATTAATTATTAATTTTATTGGAGCTCGGGATTATAGGTCCATAAGTCCCCGCGTCGTCATTGTAATTCTACCAGACACAAAGGACAAAATGGGAATTTTAGAATTATAGAATTCTAAAACTAAATACTCAAAAAATAATTAATTGAGAATTAATTATTATTTAAATAATGTGATTATTTAAATTTGAATTTGAATCATGAACATAATTTAGATTTATCCTTTTAAACTTATTTGATAAGTTGTTCAATTTAGAATTTAAATTAATTTAAGTTTGACTTAAATTCAAATTTGAATTTGAATTAAAATTGGACTACAGGATAAAGGATGATTTTCTATTCCTTTCCTATCTGCAATTGGCGCCACACACAGGGATAGGAATCCCTAGCATGGCCGGCCACAATAGATAAGGTAGAGGAGAATTTTTTGTTCAAAATTCAAACATGAGAGAGAGATTTGATTCCTTCTAGAAGTTGGACTACTACTCTATAAATAAGGTATGATGAAAAATTACGCGAGATGGATTTTTTAACCTAATTTGTTAGGGCTGGCCGAATTCCCTATAATGAAAAGAGAATGAAAATTTTTCTCCCAAAAAATTCTACATCGTGCATGCGTTGGTGTTTGTGGAAAATTCGAGTGTTTAATCAAACCCGTTTTAGTCTCGAGTGTGCCCACACACACGTCTACGTGGAATCAAGGAATTAACGTGGAAGACTTTAGTTTTCTAAACACAAAGCTCGGAGCAAGGATTGTTCGAGGTCAAAGAATTCAAGTTATTATCCGAGTCAGCTCCAGGTATTTTTCCTAATTGAGTTCTTGACATATAAATTAATGTGATTAATTTATTCGTGCATAAATTAATATAATCTATAGAGTATCTCAAACGTTTTGTGAAAATTGTTGTTATACACGATCCGCCTCCCCGCCACGCTTCCGCATCCGAATTTGATTCGGCA